TGATTGGATAAAGTGGGGGCTCGACGGTGGCCGACGCGGGACAGTCTGGCTGTGGCAGGGGTCTCGGAAACCATGGGTTATTGCAATGGCAGGTGCACGCTGATCTTTATCTGTGGCATGCAACTGGTAAGTGGCACTTGGGTCCTCTTCTCCTGTAACGCGCCTCTGAGCTAGTGGGTGGGGGTGGGGGTCAGTATTGGGTCTGCAGTGGATGAGAATGGGAGAAAAAGTAAAAGAGAAAAGGTGACATATATTGTCTATATTTAAAATGATTTCAGGGAGACGCGCGGTGTGGTACAGGGGTGAGCCTGCCACCCCCCACCTATTGCTGTCCCTCGGAAGACAGTTTGGCGGGTGCGGGTTAAACTTGTCTTTAATTTATTTAAGCAAAGCAAGATTAGCCGTTGTTCTTTTATGCTTTGCATTCCCATAACTGTAATAACCTGATCGTCACATGTAGTACAGGTAACAGAGAAATGTGGAGTTTTTTTTTTTATTTTTTTTACTTCTATACGCCTATTTTTACTGTATCTTTGTTTCTTCATTGACGTGTTATTTTTCACGGAGTATATTGTCTTATAAGTCTACTGCTGTAACAAACCACTATGTAGGGCAGATGGTATCGTTAAAGTGGCTTGATCTGGAAACCACATTGAGTTTTAAAAGTATGTAGATTGAAGAGAAATACTTAGATGAACTTAGCAACACCATTGCCAATGACCGGACCAGTAGCCTTCAAATCACAATTATTGCAAACAGTTCTAAGGAAGGAATATTCTCTTACATTATGCATGTAATTGCTCCTGAAATAGATACTATTGTTTGATCCTATAGGGTGGAGAATTATATGTACTACTTCTTGAGGAACGTTGTTCAGTTTTAAAGAGGCAAGGAGCCAATAATGGAAGTGCCACGTCTCTGAATTTAAATTTCCTAAGGGCAACAGAAAGAGGGGCTGAAAATACTTTAGAGGTGAAAAATAGACCACTGTAAGTGGTTAATTTGAACTAGGAGGTACTTGCTCGCTCCTGTTATAAAATAGCTTTCCCTGGAAAGTATATATTAATCTGAATAGCCACTTAGTTTTGAACAACTGTTTCGTAAAGGCTGAAAGGACAAGACTGAAGGAAATTTCTGAGAGTCCAATCAGTAAAGTATTCAGAAGAGCAAGGATTTGCTAATGAAACTGAGAATTCCTTAAGTGTTCTTCTTTGTTATCAGTTGTCATGAGTGGTGGTTGCTGTTATTGTTTTGTTCAGTATTTAGCTGAACAGTTCTTTTTCTTGTGTATTATCTCAGGATGTTTATCTTTTCCAGGAAAGTTATCTTATGACATATATTTCGACCTGTGAATTAAGAAAAAGAAGAGAGACATATCAGTATAATTTTAAGAATGTAGTATTTTCTTGATGATGCATAAACCACTTTATTTTTTTTCTACCACACATTAATTTATGTTTTAAAATAAAGGATTTTTACTCTTAATGATAAAGCTGATCAGAACAATAAGAGAGCTTACTTTGTTAAACTACATTAGGCTAAGTATGCCAAATTGCATAAACATTTTCAAAACATTTTTATATTCCTATATGAGTTGGAAAAGAAGACATTTGCTTATTCATTGTGGAAAAGCATAAAACTGAGAATGAGTGGGTGGGAAATATCATTCTTATACTCTTTTAAATTTCAGTTTTAAAAATATGATTTAACTTTAACCATTTAACATAGTAGAGCTTTATTATGGCAAATGTAGGCATTGGATCTATATGGTGTTTTGAGTGACTACAAACTCTTCAAGAACTTAAACAATTTAAGGAAAACATAAATATGCAAATAGGGAAGCTGAATACACAAAGTAGAAGGATAAGGCTCAAGGTTTATGTGTGCGTGTGCGTGCGTGTGTGTGAGTGTGTGTGTGTGTGTGTGTGTGTGTGTGTGTTCCTATGCATGCCTACATGCAGTGGGTTTTAGGAAAGGTGCTACATCACTAATGAAACAGAAATTCTGATCAGAGCTAAGTTCTCTAACAAAATAGAATTTGCTGCAACATATGAGTGCTCAATCTAAGCAAGTATACACATTTGAATCCCAAGAAATATTTTATGCTCACTAAGGATCATGAGATTTTTTTTTTCCCATTCAGACTTATGTGCTACCAGGATAATATAATTAGCAGCCATGTTCATGCAGATGCAGAACAAAAAACAAAGGAGGAAGAATATCCCATTGGATTGATAGGGCGGGGTGGTCACATTTAAAGGACTGCAGAGATTTCTGGTAATTGTTGCTTCTTAGGAATATAGTATTTCATTTTAAATAAAAGAATTATTTTGCAAGTTAATAGTTGCAAAGCCCTGCACAACAAAAAAATTAGGTAGGTGTATATATTTTCCTTTGCTCTTGATAGATCTGTAAAACTTTTTGTATCTTTGAGCTATTTTGAGTCAAGATTGTTTTATAAGTAGCCAGGTTTACAGATAAGTTATGACTCATGTACCACTGACTGACACAAAAGTTCACTTAGTTTTGTTTACTTCTGAAGTGTGTAGTGCAGGTTCTTAGAACATTTGAATGTAGTCTTTTTGTAGCTGTACAGAAAAATTTTAGTTTGTAAAATTTAACTGAAGACCATGATAGTCTAAGATAGGAACTTTATTGAATTTCTTTCTTAAGTAACTTTATGTTTCTGAAAACATTTACCTCCAATTCTGCAAGTAGAGTATATTTTTATTAGACTTAAAGAAATATTTCTGTTTACATAAACTTGCAACCATCTTAGTAGCAAACGAGGTAGCTTTTGTTGTTGTGGAAACGGGAACCTCCTTTGTCACTTTTTTAGCAAGTGAAGGACAGAGACCAACCCTGCAGAGACAGTTATCTGTCAAGATTCTATGTAGTTGCTTTTAATTTGTTAAACATGCCTTTAATTTAATGCTTGGCAGAATACCAGTGTGAATAAATACACATTCTTTTAAAAATCAGGTTATAAAACAAGACACTGGAATTTCATACAACAGAGATATAATACAAAATGTTCATTTCATGCCTCTCTGAGCTGTATAGTTACTCCAACTTCAGGTTTTAGGTGTTTCCTACCCAAAGGGCTGTGATCTCTGGAAACTGATTTGCTGCATGTACAGAATCTGGAGTTTAAGCTCATAATCTCAAGAAGGTAATTTTCCTCTTATCATTGCTGTTCTTAATGCTCAGAAACGGAAGATTTCAGGGAGTAACAAAAATCATCATGGCATTTGAAGGGGTGGATATAGCGGGTGCAGGATAAGAACAAGTTTAAGCAGCGGTTCTCAACCTGTGGGTCGTGACCCCTTTGGCGGTCGAACAACCCTTTCACCGGGGACGCCTAAGACCATCCTGCATATCAGATATTTACATGACGATTCATAACAGTAGCAACATTACAGTTATGAAGTAGCAACGGAAGTAATCTTATGGTTGGGTCACAACATGTATTTAAAGGGCCGGAAGGTTGAGAACCACTGAATTAAAGTCTTATTTGCAACTTGCACCAGTTTGAAAAAAGTTTCAGCTTTAAAAAATATTTGGTTGAATGAAAGAGTCCTTTATATAAATATTGAAAATATCACTCAGTAATAATATGGAAGAATATAACTTACTTTAGATGTCAAAGACAGCTTTGTTTTCTAGTAAGGAAATTCAAAATCGCCCCCATTGTATACACGAGGCTCCTATGTGGCACAAAGCATGAGTCCTAAACTATTGAAAGAAAGCATAGAGTTACATTCAGCAGATTAACACTTGGAGATGTCATTCTTGCCTGTGCTCTATGAAATATGGCTAACTTGGAGCAGGTGCAGCTAACAATTGGGTTAGTACACATGCGTGTGCAGCTGTGTGAAGAAGCACGTTTGAAACTTAATTAAGAATGATCAGTTGCTTTCTCCTACTCTGTTACTAAGCGCTTTCAGGGGTACACATTCATTAGAGAAGGCCATGAGTACTTAGATGGACTCAAGAGAAACAAACTTATCATAACCATGGAGTATCTTAGTGGTGTCAGTTGTGATTTTGTGCAGTGTTCACACTTACATGCCTTTTAGTTACGTCCTAGAAGATAAAGCAGTACCTCGAAAAGTGCAGGCAGGATGTTATGCTTTTCCTAGGATACTTTTCACAAGTTTGAAAGTTCTCTGCAAGTGCAGAATTTTACCTATCAGAAACACTCCTGCTCAGAGAATTAAACATTTTAGATTCCGATATCATTGATAATCCAATCTTGAGTTCGTTAATCAATCTGATTCCTGGAGAAGACGAAAACTTTCCAGGTAATACTTCAGAAACATATAGTGTAAATGGATGCTAAGGGTTTGCTAAGTTGTAAACTTACTTTCTTCTTTTTAGACATTGTCTATATTTGCACCCCAACATTTTGACATGCACACACACGTGTGTGTGTGTGTGTGTGTGTGTGTGTGTGTGTATATTCTTTCATTGTAATTCAGCTCTCCTCTCCTCTAATGTTTACCAAGAAAGATGTAGAAACTTCTTCCAGGGTCCTGCTCTCTTCCTTGGTTCACACACGGAGTGGCAGCTTTTTTTCTCATACACCCGAAGTTTCAAATAGCCAGTCTGTGCAGAGATGTCCCTCTTTCTCCAATAAAATAAAGCCTTGGATGGGCAGCGTTTCCCGTGCAGAATGCCGGCGTTAGCTCTGGCAGCAGCCCATATGTGGGCAGCGGCCCGGGAATGCAGACGGGCACTCCGACCTCCTTCCCTCGGATGCGGCTTTGCTTTGGGGTCAGAGTCTCCTCTTGCCAAGACTCATTTCAGAATGGCATTCTCTCTCTCTTTCGACAAAAATAAAATCTGAGACAGAAGCACATTTTAATATTTCTACATTTATACTGTACATAAAAATATTAACATCATGGCATCCATTACATTAAATATTTATATATACTACTAATGGCTAAAATTTCAAAGGCTGTATTTCAGTTATTTAGTAGAATTTCAAGCAGCTCAGTGTAATTTTTAAAAAGTAGCTTTGAGACAAATATTGCTAATAATGGAAATTATCCTATATCCATGCCTTAAAAATGTAATGTCAGAAATCAAACACATATGCAGGAGAAATATTTCTAGTCTTT